ACTGCATATCCAGGCTCCAACTATCGTGACCAATTCAAAAAGAAGACATGGTCAAAGTGGTTAGAGTAACACTATAATATTAAATTCTCACTGTAGTGAAAGAAATGAATTCAAGGAAAACATAAAAACTAAAAAAAAACTCAAATACTGTTCAAATACTGATGCAGCAAAGAGTAGTGCTAATACATGAAGTCTTACAGGGAACATAACTGCCTACAGATGGACAGACCTTGCACCACAATTTGAGCAAAAAACACTTAAAGGGACACTATAGTTACCAAAACAATTTTAGCTTATTGAAGCAGTTTTGGTGTAAAGATAATTTCCCTGCAGTGTCACTACTCAATTCTCTGCCATTTAGGAGTTAAATCACTTTGTTTATGCCTTAGTCACACCTCTCTGCATGTGACTTGCACAGCCTTCCTAAATACTTCCTGTAAAATCTATATAATTTAAAATGCATTCCCTGCACTGTTGATAGCTTGCTAAATCCCACAGAAGCCTCCTGTGTATGATTAAAGTTCAGTCTAGAGAGCAGGCAATATGAACTTTTAAAGTAAGTTACATCAAATTGAAAGTGAAACCATTTTTTTTTTCATGCATGGTGTGTGAGTCATAGCCAGGGGAGGTGTGGCTAGGGCTGCATGGACAAACAAAAGGGATTTAACTCCTAAATTGCAGAGAATTGAGCAGTGAGACTGCAGAATCATGGTCTATACACTAAACCTCTCATTGAGCTAAATTTGTTTTGGTGACTATAGTGTCCCTTTAATTTGCTTGAAATTTCACTTTAAACACAATATTTAGGGTAGATGTATGAAAGGGAAAATAAAGGTGTATATGTCCAAACTATACAGGGACTTATGGGATAGTTTATAGTTTTCATTAGGCTAACAAAAGGTATGTTCACTTATTCAAGTGCTTCTTATTCTTCTTTATTTCATGAATTAAAAGTTTTGAAAAGGATTGTTTTTGCATACAACTTTGTGGGTCTCTTTCTTCCTCCAGCCCCTTTGTGTGAGTGTTTCTCACACAACCACTTTGTGTGCTTTTTTCCTCTTCCCTAGTCCTTTTGTGTGTCTCTTCCCCCCAGTCCCTTTGTGTATCTATTTCTCCCCTCAAGCCCCTTTGTGTGTCTCTTTCTCACCCAGCCCTTTTTTGGGTCCTTGTCCCCCCAGCCCTTCTGTGCTTATTTGTGTCTCCAGCCCTTCTGTGCACCCAGTTGGCCCTCACCAGTCCTTCTGTGCACCACTTCGTCCATTCATCTGGCTTCTCCCCCTCTCCCTTCCTGTTCGTGTTTTCTATCTACATTGGACCTTGCTGCTTTTATCCAGCAGATTCTCACATCGAATATCTTGGTGGGGAATATACCATATGGATTGAGCAAATCCTATTTTTCTCTTTACTAGTGAGTATGTCTCCTTTTATTACTTTTAACAGTGAGCACTACATATTTTTTAATTTCTATTTTATTTACATCCCACTTTGGTGCAATTCTGCTGATATACTCCTGCAGTTTAAAAAGTGGGAACTCCTAAAAAACCAAAAGCAGGGGTCACTCCACTCGTGTCACTAAGAGAAATTGTTTGTGTATATCCAAATATTTATGTTTACTCCCATTCAATGTCCCAAATATACTACACTGCAGCTGTTTTCTGTTTCTTGTTTCATATTATCTAGAGTCTTCCCACTGGATCAAGATATCAAGTAAATCCACAGGCGAGGATTGTAGCGCCCTGGTGCATATACTTGGAGCTAATTATCAGCTCCAAAAGAATTGTACATGCAATTCGTTTATTTATTTCACCAATACCATAAACATATGACACCATATACTGTATCTTGTTTTACATAGTGACCCATTCTGACTTGTACCCGGTTACACCCCTAAGGCATTGCTTCCCTCCACCACTCTACACAGTATCCATCTATGACAAGAAAGGAAAGACTAATTTGGGTTGTCCACGCTGCCTACCTATACTGCAAACAAGTGCTAGAAACCTCTCACTTTGCACCATTCTCTCCCCTCCCTGCTGACCTCTCTCCATGTAGTGTAGCTGAGCCAACAGTGGTGGTGGATCTTCTATATGTTCTATTCCATCTAACAGGAAGTTGGTCATTGCTCCCAGCGAGCAGCTTCCTGATAGACCAGCAGAGGATAAAGAAGATCCTCTAGAAGCAGTCTACTCGGCCATGCTACATGAAGTGACCGGCAGGAGGGGTAGCGCTGTGCAGTGGGTTCCTCTACTGCCTGTCACCTGGACATTGTGCCCTACTGGTGATGTACCCTACTAAGCTGCTTAATTTGCATCCCTCGATCCTCAATTTGAGGTATTCCAGCCCAGTAATATATTATAGAATAACAACTGTAATCCAAGCACATCTATTGTATTAAGAGACTGAGGATGCCATTTTCAGTTAGTCAGATGACTAAACAAATTGAAATTGGGAACTGCCATTTCCAATTGTTTTTAACGCTTTGTTTACTCATCTCTATACTTGACAAATATGCGAGGTGAGGTGTCAGGTGTGAAAAATTAAATTAAATGCAGTAATCCACAGTATGTTATGCTGCAACTAGGGCTATTTTAGCTCTCTGTCAGTCATTGTTAAAGACTCTGTCCTTCACATCTGGCAGTCAGCATAGAAAAACACACAGAGAAGAAGAACACAATTAAACAAAGTTTCTCTTACTCCTCTGTATTAGCAATGTTTGCTCTGCTTTGCCTTATCTGAACTAGATTATGATGTTCTTTTTTGAATATTTAATACAGATGTATAGGAAAACAGGATCTTTTGGAAGATTTTCAGGGTTTTCTTCAGTGGTGTAAATTTTAAAGAAGTGACAGTTCCCCTTGAACTCCTTCCAAGCTTTTTTTGCTCAGATTTAGTCTTGTATAACATCATGTTCTCCAAAATTATTTCAAGTGTATGACTTTATATAAAAAGTTTGGTTAAGAAACACATATTTTGCTGAAATTAAATCGCACAAATTATATTTAAAAGCTCTCAAACCTTTTCCTATTTTTTTTCGAGACATACCTTAAATGCAAATATAAATAAATTTTAGACACGACTTACCTCCAGCTACTAACCCAGACTCCCCTAACTGTATTGCGACTCCAAAACCTCCAAGCTTGACTGGTGCAGAGTTTTCTTTTGAAGCAAGGAGTACACAGTGTGGCTTAAAGAAAAAAGAAAATGAGAGTTCAATATAATAAATTAATGGATAAATTAATGGAAACAAATTACTTCAACAGATTAAAATCGCAAACATAAATGGCATTTTGAAAATTTAAAAGTGTCAAAAATATCACCAATTGCAATCAGGAATAAAGGTATGTAAAAGCACGTGAAAAAAAATAGCATTCACAAGGAAACTTTAAACAAGGAAACTTTAATCAGAAGCTCAGACCCGGTGTTAATATTAATTATCTTGTCTCCTGCCTTTGCAAGACCTCCCCTTCAAATTAAGCCCATGCTTTCTCTGCCTGTCCAATTACAGACCTCCTAAAGCAGCTTCTCTGGGCAATTGCTGCCTATTGAGTTAAGCTCCACTGAGCTAATCAAACCAGGAAGTAAGGTTTGCTTGAAAGTCAGGGGGTGCAACACTTAATTTCTAAATGTGACAATTTCTACTGAAATCTGCACCTCCCCCCATTTTACCAAAGATGGAATACTTTAATGCTATAGTTGCTTTGTAGCGTTTTATTTGTGCATATGTGGGCTGTTATATTGTATATTTGTTCAAGAGTAGTTTGTGTATTGTGTATGATACCTATGAATGTGGGCTGTGTATGGAGGCTGCTTTTGGAATTTTGTATGTGAATGACGTCACATTGTGTGTTTGGTGGTGTGTGTGTGTGGTGCTGCTTGGGGTATTGCTTGTGAGAGGCTGCTTGTGGGGTAGTGTAAATTGAGGATTGTTCTCACCAACCGCAATCCCCGCTTGGTTTGCAGTAGCAGATATCTGAAGTTCCTGTTTGGCTCTGGCAGCCCTGAGTGCCTTGCAAAGGCACATGTGCCATAAGTTAATGATCCCTGCTATATTATATTTAATGGCTTTGTTTTCCTGGCACTATAGTTTCCCTTTAAGGGTATTTGGTAGCTCCATACAGCAATAGTTTAAAAAAAAAAGCATACCACCAGACTCTCCCCTAGTCTTCAATCGTTTAAGAAGTGCCTTAAACTCCATCTATTTAGGAAAGCTTATGGCCTACCAGAGTAACCTCTACCTTGCATACCTGTCTCTTGCTCTCTCCTCCAGCTCTGCTTCACTCCCACCTTATTTGACTGCTATTTCCTGTCTAATGTGTTGTATACCCCACTTCCTATAGACTGTAAACTCGTTTGAGAAGGGTCCTCTTCAACCTATCGTTCGTGTAAGTTTTCGTGTAATTGTCCTGTTTATAGTTAAATCCCCTCTTTCATAATATTGTAAAGCGTTATGGAATCTGTTGGCGCTATATAAACGGCAATAATAATAATTTAAATAGTATGATATTCCATACCTGACCAGGGTTCTTAGTAAACAGATGTATGGATGTAAACATGCAAAGGTTTCCATATATGCATAAACCTATTACAATGCAATAGGTAGCATTATTCTCTGTTCATTGTGCTAATTGATTTACACCACCATTGGGAATATCATTATTAAAATTAAAAATAAATAAGCCACAAAAAATTAGATGTGAAAGACTAAGACTCTTAAAATACAACTCAGCTACTGTTCTCCAGTACAGTGACAACCCACATGTATACCTTCTCCCCCCTAATCCAACATATCAAAATTACATGTACAGAAGTAACTTTCAAGTAGGTTGTTGGTTTCAAGGTTAAAACCGATCAAACAAAAAAATAAAATAAAAATAAAATAAAAATAAAATAAAATACAGTTCTGATTATCAAGTTGAAGGATAGTCTGACAAAGCCCAGCACATGACACGTGGTTGGCACTAAAAAGGTAAAAAGAATAAAAAGAAAAAAAAATACAAAAAATGGAGAAGAAGAAATGCTATATTCTAGTAAATACGGTAATTGAACTATTCCATTTTTACTTCCTTAGGCAGCAGTTTTTCAAAGTCTTATAGAGAAGGAAGTTCTCGCAACATTTCTAATACAGCGATTTCAGATATTTGAGCTTGATCAAAGCGGTGAAAGCTCAAAAAACAGTAAAAACAACAAAAAAAGGTAAGTCATCGTATTTTACATTCAATTCTTGTGCAGCATGTGTTATGTATGTTTAGTGGACTGATTACACCTGTGTTTTGGCACATACATCCATACATATTAGGCAGCATGCACAAAATATATTGTTGATGATGGTTTATAAAATGTGCCCAGAAGCCCAACATTACAAGATTTCCCTTAACCATATGATTACTGTTATGTAGCTTTTATATTACATATTTGTAAGGTAGGATAAGTGTGTATGGCTTGGGGGATAGTGTGCTAGGATTATGTAGCGTTTAAGGGGAAGATTACTCTTATGGCATCACTGTAATAGGTTGGTGATTAGAAGGAAGTATAATCATTAGGAATGTAACCTCCACTAGTTTTACTGAAACATACATGTCCAGGTTCTGCCTGAGATCAGGCTCCCCAAACTGCAGACAGGTGAACCTTACATTGTTATACATTCATTAAAGGATATCATTTAATTAATGGATATAATTTTGGAATTCTAAAACATGAACTGTCCATTAAAACAACATACATATCACATAATATATAATTAAATGTTTAGTTGAAGTGTCCCTGTAAAAAAAGTACTGGCTTCTTTGATAAGGAAAAAAATCTAACCTCGTTACTGTTTCCATTTAAGTTAAAACTTTATTGATTTCAAACTAAATTTAAAACAAAAACATTTGATTGCTTTACAGGCTTGTGTGTTGCTTGGAACACAATTACTAAAAAACTTTTCCATGAATAACTGCTCTCAAATGTGTAGTTGTAAAATTGTAAATTAACACTAACAATGCAAATTAAACAAAGCAATCAGAGGGAAAGAAACAATACCAAATGACTAAATGTGACTTAAAAAAATGTAACATCTCATATATATCCATCTCATCTAACGAAAACACAAAATGGAATATATATACATACACACACACACACACACACACAGAAAGAGAGAAACGATAAATTCCTAAAAGGGTGAGTCACAATATACTAAAATGTTTTAATCAAATATAGCCTGCTTAACTCCTTACATAACTCTTTTTGCAGAATCACCCTGCAGACCGCCCAAGACCATACACCATGGTCTAGGAGAGGCTTAAAAATCAGTGCATCTTTAAAAGGGGATGTAACTTACCAGTATTTTTAAAAACACATTAACTTATAGAAAATAAGAGCGAACAGCAAGCTAAAGGACTTTAGGCATCCTGAGTGTAACCTTAACAATACTTATGCGGACTTGAGATTGGAGCACAAAAGCATTTTTCCTTAGGATGTGAGATGCTTAGCTTGCAAAAGAGACAACTTTAGGGACTTCGGAAAAAAATAATAAGAATTAAAAAAAACTAACATATGCAAATGAAAAAGGTTTACATGTGTGGTAACATTTTAATAGTTTAATAGAGTTGCAGCAGAATACAAATATGGGATGCTTGCATTAGTGGGACACATGAGGTCTGAATTTAACCAAAATACTAAACATGATAAAATGGTTAAAGAAACACTACAGGGTCGGGAACACAAGCATGTATTTGCTGATCCTATAGTGTTAAAAACATTATTTAACCCCCTGGCCTCTCTTGCTACTCAAATATAGTGAAAAATCACTATTACCAGCACCACATGGGTCTGCCAGCGCTGGTTCCGCCCCAATCCGCCTCCTTTTCTGACATCATCAGAATTGATTATCTCAGCAAATCGCAATGTTTTCCCATAGGAAGCCATTAAGCATCTCCTCACATATGCATTGAATCAATGCATCTCTATGAGGAAAGTTTAGTATCTCTATGCAGAGTGTGGAGACTATGAATGTCAATGTTGCACACTGTAGAGCACTGACCCAGGAAGCATGTCTAGAGGCCATCTGAGTGCCACTGGTGGTGTCCCTAGGCTGTAATGCTGTGATTGCTGTGCAATGCCTGCAGGGAAAGGCTATAGACATCAGAACCACTACATTAAGCTGTAGTTCTGGTGACTATATTGTTCCTTTAAGATTCTCAGGAATTCACAAGAACCCCAAAAGGATCCAAAAAGTGCATTAACAGCACAATATGAAATCATACATTTTCAGTTCTCCTTTTTGGTTTTGTAAATGGAAAACGGCACAGATGCAAACTTTCAGAAAAAAAAAAAAAAGGAGTGTGTTCCTTTTGCAGTTATTTATTAAAGTCAATGAAGTCTAAAAAATAGAGCAGCTGATACGAAGAGATTTAGCCTCATATATAATGATATCGTAAAGCTTTTTTTTTTTTTTTTTTTTAAACATCTACGGCTGAAAGTAACTGAATATATTTGACAGCACAATGTTAACTTTTAAAAACTTATTTCCAAAAGATGTATTTACACATTCTTGCTGCTATGTTTTAGTGGAAGCCTCATACACCTAAAACATAATGGCCCAATTCCAAGTAAGAATTGGCTCTCCATTTCCATAAAAGACAATAGCTGATTTTAACTATTTTACATATAGCCTGATTAAAGGAAACACTGATTAAGATGGATTATTAACTGTGCATACTTAGAATGACCCCTTTCAGCCTTTACAACAAAGATTGAAAAAGCATCACCTGCAATGATTTCCCCAAAAGGTAGAGAGCTATGCATAATTTTGCTACTGAGTATTAAGAGTAAAGATATATAACTAGATTGACAATGTGGCATTTTTACCAGTTACAAATATTGTTTTAATCAGTCAGATGCTTTACTTACAATGCTCACTGCCTAAATTAGATTTTTTTTTGATAGCACATTTTACAAGCTATTTTTTATTTTTAAGCAGTTTTCATGCAATGAATAAGGTTAGCTAACAGGAAGTTCTCTATTAAAAAGTATGGGTGTATATAGTTCTACATATTTTGTACAATGTGTCAATTTTTTTCAAAAATGTATTGCCTCTTTTTGTATAAACTGTGCTACCACACAAGTTAGCATGGTTCAATTCACGGTTATCTCAGAACAGACCTTCACCTCTTGTCCTTTCTTCTGTCTGTAAATTGCTTGTCAAATTTCCTCATTTTATAATCGGAAATCGCAGTGGAATGCGTTAGCGCTACATAAATGCTAATAATTATAAAGTTTTATTCCTAGATTGCAAATTAATTCTGGGGTTTAAAGTCACTATTACTACCATTTCTTTAATATTGAGTACTCATGTCTCGCAACCTGGGAGCAGCTTTGCCCATTTTTCAAGGCTATTCACTTTCAATAAATCTTACTAAGTTGGTCCCTGCCTTGTCTCATACCTGACCACGAATGTAAGAAAAGTAGCTGTAGTAAGAAGCAAAACCTGGAGAACTGTTGTAGACATTTGTTCTGAGATAACTGTATACTGCACAGTGCTATATTTGCAGAACAGCCAGATGAAAAAAGCAAAAACAAAAACAATTTTTACAAACAATCATAACACATTGGACATTAAAGACAAAAATTTGCATTTTGCTAAATACATAGATCCATATATACCTGTGTTTTTTAAATGCCTTAGAAATGGTGGTAAAACAGACTGCTAACAATTCCTATCTCTGTTTCCTTATAGGTGAAAACCCTACAACTGCATCAGTGACATTTAGTTCACAAATTAGTGGCTACATACCGGACTCTCCTGGGTAACATGTAAGCAATTTATTTAAACATGCATCCCAAGTTTCATTATTCACACCAGCTGCATTCAGAGTTATGCGATTAGTTGCAAAAGTAAATGCAAGTAATCATTCTCAGAACGAAGTAACTGAAATGTTTTACATGGTGGAGGAAGCTAAAGGCATGCAATTTGCATACTTTCTGCCTTTTTCAGCTAATATACTTTTCTTAGTCTTTTTTTTTAGCTCAGCAGTGCCCTCTACTGGACAGATCATATCTGAACTGACTGACTTCCTAACATACTCAGTGAGCTTCAAAGAATTTATCATCAAATAGTCCTCAGTTTTGGTTAATATTCGTATTCTATTCTGCAACTCTTTGCCAATTTATTTTTGACTCAAGTACAATGAGATCATATTGCAGGTCCACAGTGGTGATGCACTGCTAATGCATACAAGCAAAAAACAAGTACATGAATACATTCTCCAGAACCTGCAGATTGTAGAGACCAGGATTTATGACTGCCAACATCCCACAGAAATGAAACACTGCAACTATATTCCATACAATACCATGCAGCAGGGATTTGAAGGATTAAAGAATATGAAATTGAGCAATTTCCTTTCCATTGACATATGAACAGAGAGACCAAGCTGTACGTACTTTAATTCATAAAAGAAAACACATAGAAAAACTATTTTGAAACTTAAAAAAGACATTCCAAACACTATCACAACATATACTCCATGCACAGGTTATAATACAAATAATTCCATGTCTTCCCTATCCCTAGTCAATATAGCTGCAATAATCTGTGCAACTAGTATTACCATAGAGTATAGCTTCTCCCAGACAGAGACAATTATTTGTCTGACGTGCACATTCTACAAATCTTAATTGGCTTTATACAGGCTCTCATTTTCTCTACTGTTGCCACTGGCTTGCCACATCTTTCTACTAATATTACTAAATATAATATACTAGAGGTGGCCAAACTTCATTTCTATAAGATTTCCTCCCCTTCCACCATGATTCAGCTTACATCCCCTGTGTAGCGTAGCAGAACCGCAGACCATGGTAGAGGATCTTCTTTCCCTCCACCCAGTCTGACATGAAGCAGTTAGGCACCCTCAGTGAGTGCACTGTCAGACCAAGAGGGGAGTGCTGTGTAGTACTGGTACACACTAAGACAGTAGTCTATGGTAGCGTATTCCTAAAAAAATATTTTGCGAGCCGCATTGAACCGTTTAACGAGTAGCAGTTTGGCCATGTCTGTTATATACTCTAAAAAACATACTATAGATGGTTTTTTTTATGGAGCACTATATTGCAGCACGAGAGAAAAAACAAGCTAAACAGATTAGACAGAAATTGCACACCAACGTAAGTCAGCCTCACCCTGTCACTTTCCAGACTATAATATTTATACTGTGAAAAGTTAACTATACATAATTTAGATCCTTTGAACTTGACATTACTGTTGTGTGTCATTTGAGGGCAAAATATCTACATACAGTCATTTTGCCCACTCCTATGCGCCATGCCGTGTGTGGTGGAAGCAAGCTATATTTTAACATAAAATTTCTTTAAACTGGAACCAATCAGCAGGCAGCCATTCTCAGCCAATCCCAATTCATACAACTGGTTTGAAAAGAAACACACCTTTTTCAAGCCAGTTTTTGAATGGGGAGTTACAGATTCATTAAAAGCTTGAGTTGATTGCTCTGAGCCAATCTGTAACGCCGCTGCCAGATTCTGCAAGAGCCTTCAAGTTTAAAGATTTTGAGAAAACAGAAGGAAAGAGTGAGATTCTGAGCTGGACCACAGCGTTTGGGGTTAAACTGTTCAAGAACATGTTATCCCCTAAGGGTGAGCCAGCACTAGGGACATCCTGTCACCACCACAACTTAATTTTGATATAGTTGTTATGGTGCCCAGTGTTCTTTTATAGAAGCAATTTTGGTGTATAGATCCCGCCTCTGAATTCTCACTGCTCAATTATCTGCAATTTAGGAGTTAAATCACTTTTGTTTCTGTTTATGCAGCCCTAACCACACCTCCCCTGGCGGTGACTTAGCCTGCATGGAAAAAAAGTATTCATTTTCAGATGTTCATTTACTTAAGACATTTTTATCTTGTTTTCATCTTCTATGTAAATGTAACTTTAATCACATACAGGAGGCTCATGAAAGACTAGCAAGCTATTAACAGTGCAGGAGACAAGAAATTCTTAAACAGACTGTGCAATAAAAGAAGTGTAAACATTAGATCTCACTTTACAGGAAGTGTTTAGGAAAGTTTTGCACTTTACATACAGGGAGGTGTGACTAGTGCTGCATAAACAATGTAATTTAACTCCTAAATGGCAGAGACTTAAGTAGTGAGACTGCAGGGGCATGGTCTATAAACACAATTGCTTCATTAAGCTAAAGTTGTGTTGATTATAGTGACACACACACACAAATAAGTGGCCTATCTAGTAAAGCCATTCTGTGATTATGCCGCATGGTAGTGTTTTTCCAAGTGCTGCAATTATGAATAAATAATTTTGTTGCTTTTTTTTTTGGCAGGTGAAGCAAGACATGGATGCTATATTTTCTTCTCCAGCTAGTCACACCACATATAAAAATGGAGTAATGTATAATTTTTCTACAGTTTCAGAATTGCTTACTTCAGGAGCATCTAACAAATCAGAGTGTTTAAAGGATGAACGATCACTTGGTGTTGCTCTAGCTGTTTTATATGGAATAATTTTTGTTATTGGTCTGCTGGGCAACATATTAGCCTTATATGTTTTTCTGTGTGTCCACAACAAGAGGAATTCGGTGCAAGTTTACCTCCTTAATACAGCTATTGCAGATCTGTTACTGATTTTTTGTCTTCCCTTTCGGATCGCATATTATCTTACACAACAGTGGGACATGGGCATAGTTTTCTGTAAAGTGATTGGAAATTTATTTTACCTGAATATGTACATGAGCATCATTCTTTTGGGTCTAATAAGCATAGACCGTTATATGAAAGTGAAAAAGTCTCTACGACGGCACAGAGTGTCCAAGAGAAAATGTAGCATTCAAATTTGCTGTATTTTGTGGGTGGCAGGAGCCATAGCAGTGGTGGTTCTCATAACTGCTCAGTCAATGAAAGCACAATCAAACCCAAAAGAGTGTTTTTACTACACTGACAAAAAAGATGCAGTGTGGCAAGCAGTTTTCAATTACTTCATCGTGCTTGTCTTTTGGATTGTTTTTCTTTCTCTAATCTTGTCCTATATGAAAATTGCAAAAAACCTTCTGAGAATATCCAAGGAAAGAGCTCATTTGCCAAGTGCTGGGAAATACAATGGAACTGCATGGAAATCTTTTTTTGTGCTTTTCATCTTTACTATATGTTTTGTCCCATACCATACCTTCAGGATTTTTTATATTACATCTCAACTGAAGAATACTTCCTGTTACTGGACAGACATTATTCACAAAACCAATGAGATAATGCTGGTATTTTCTGCTTTGAACAGCTGTCTAGACCCAGTAATGTACTTTCTACTATCTAGCAGCATCCGCAAAACCACCTTTCAGCTGCTCTGCAGAGTCAGTCGGGACTCCATGAGGAGCGAGAGCAATACTTCAGATCTTCATCATGGACATACGTTGAATGAAAACGCTTGCGCATCCACTCATAGTCTTCATTCACATAGTATCATTAGTCCGAAGCTTGTCAAAAAATAAGTTTTGTTTAGTTAGACTATAACAAGAGACCTGTGTCATAAATCAAATGAAACATCTGAACAACACGTCCACTTGCTAATGTAATATTGCTTACTGGAACCATAACAAAAGAGATTTCAATAGTGCAATGTAGAATATTGAGATTATTCAGAATTGTACCAAAACCTGGCATGGACCATCACTCTATTATACTAATTATATGTTTATAGATTATAGTCTAATTAACCTAATCTTGCGATGAAGACCAAAATTGAGCCACAAATAGAGCCGCAGAGTAGAGTTTTCTAATCTAGGTTCTTTGCAGTGAGCCTGAAAAAAGAGGTTTGAAATCTGGTATTGAGGAATGACCTGCAACTTTAGCAATATCTGCACTAAACATATCAGAATTAAATAGCAAATTGTAATCAAGGATTGTAAATATAACTGTATATTATATGTTCAAAATACCAATATTTACATATACACAAGTAAAGCAAGTGAAAATCTACCAGTTTTCTCTAACTGTGGGGTAGATAATGTGCTCTAACTCCTTGGTTGGGACTCAAAATGTGTTACCCATGCAATGCTAATGTGTCCCAAATAGTTGGGACAAGCAAATCCTGTTCATCAAGCCTGAAGTGAATTATTTGCTGTGGAAACAAGGTCTTTCCCAGGGCAACAGCGGAAACTTTGACACTGGGAAGAGTGTAGAGGTTTGTTGAGCTCAGTATTTAATTACATTACAACTTAAAGTAACACTCCCGGCATTATGAACAGATCACCTGTTTAATTGGTTATTGTGGCTGTAGAGCAGGCTTCCTCAAACTCCGTCCCTCCAGATGTTGCTAAACTACAACTCCCATGATTCTACGAATGAAATAGGCTGAGAATCATGGGAGTTGTAGTTCAGCAACATCTGGAGGGCCAGTGTTTGTGGAAGCCTGCTGTAGAGCCTTTGCACAATCCCGCAGTTCACTGTTAAACAATTTTCTTGCAGTTGAACAGTGAACTAGTGTATATAACCACCTTTTGGACTGGTTAGCACTTCCTTGTTAACCAGAGTGGCAATGGGGGTCTGTGATCGGTTGAGAGCACTCATGTGACTCTCAGCCTAGAAATACACCCATTGCCGCTCTACTAAGGCAATGCACTCATCATAACTATAAAGAGATGAAGTGGTTATAATTACCAGAGTGTGTCATTGAAGAAGTTATTCAGCTAACGTTACATAGCCATGACATCATTTATGTGCCTGTCAAAAATGGTTTAAAATGACTGTGCTAAACAGTTAAAGGGACACTATAGTCACCAGAACAACTACAGCTTAATGTAGTTCTGGTGAGTGTAATCATTTCCTTCAGTAATTTTCATGCAAACACTGCCTTTTTAGAGAAAAGGCAGTGTTTACATTGCTTGCTAGGGATAGCTCCTGCGGCCCCTCCTCAGATGTCCACTGGAGGTGCTTCCGGGGCAGTGCTGCACAGTAGGTAGCACTGCCGTTCAGCGTCTCCATGGACGGCGGGTGGGGGCCATAATGAGAATGGGGGGGACCTACTGCCCCCCCCCCGGCCCCCACCCCTGGGCGGCGGGTGGGGGCCATAGTGAGAATGAGGGGGGGGACCTACTGCCCCCCCGGCCCCCACCCCTGGGCGGCGGGTGGGGGCCATAGTGAGAATGAGGGGGGGGACCTACTGCCCCCCCCGGCCCCCACCCCTGGGCGGCGGGTGGGGGCCATAATGAGAATGGGGGGGGACCTACTGCCCCCCCCGGCCCCCACCCCTGGGCGGCGGGTGGGGGCCCTAAGTCAATTACCCCCCCCCCAAGGTGACTAGGGGTCCCCAAGACCCTAGTCACCCACCCTCCACCCAAAAAAAAAACAAGTCCCTACCTACCCCCCTCACCCTAAAAAATAGTGAGGGGGGGATAAAATAACTAACCTGTAAAATAAAATTAAACTTACCATTCGACGTCTTTTTTTCTCAAATCATCTTTTTTCAGCCCCAAAAAAGGCCAAATAAAAAAACCATCATAACCGTCGAATTGAAAATAAAATAAAAATCCTGAGCGCAAAAAAATAGGTAGTAGGTCCCCCCCCCATTCTCATTATGGCCCCCACCCGCCGCCCAGGGGTGGGGGCCGGGGGGGGGGGCCAGTAGGTCCCCCCCCATTCTCATTATGGGGGGGGGGGCAGTAGGTCATTTGGTCTCCCCCCTTATTTTCCTTTAGGGCCCCCACCCGTCGTTTAGGGGTGGGGACCAATAGTTTTTTTTACAGTGAGCAGCCACAGGCTGCTCACTGTTTACCAGACATGCCCCTACTCGCAGTATAGCAAGTAGGGGCATATTACTTACTAATACTAAGTAATTTTTACTTGGTATTAGTAAAGTTGCCTGAAAGACCAATTTAGGTCTTTCAGCCTTTTAGTAGATAGCTCCCTGATACCGTGGGAATTAGGGAGTTATCTACTAAGCGGCTGCAAGATGCAGCCACAGCAATGAATAGGATCAGAGTTTCATTCATTAGAATGAAATTCCGATCCGAATAAAGTGCCGAATTGCGTTCTAAAAGAAACGAACATACTGTTGTCATTCAGTTAGAACGCAATTCGGCAGTTTTGTGTAAAGTGACAGGAAGCATTGTGGGAACACTGAGGAAAGCTAGGGATCATGGGAAAATTGCTCTGACCAGCGGAAATGAAGCACACTTTGCTCCTCCGCTGGTCAGAGCTGGTCAAGCGGAGGAATCCCCCATAAGGCAAAGAGTCCCTACTTTGTCTTATGATTTTAAAGAAAACTAAAGAAGACAGGAAGAAAAGAATAACAGATCCTGAGAGAGGGGGAGAAGAGGAAGAGATTGAGGAAAGGTAAGTTCGGCATGACAGTGCCGCTTTAAACTAGAAAGAGGTGCTCAATCTGATTCAATAAGACAATATGAAAAAGTAATTAAAGAGAGTTTTAGATTTGTGCAAACATTTAATTTGTACCAGTTATTGTTCAATTTAAAACAGAATACAAGCGCTCCCAAGTAGCTGTTACAAAGGCTCCTTTCCAGATAGATGAAGACTTACCATATATACTCGAGTATAAGAGTTTTTGGGCACATTTTTTGTGCTGAAAAGTCCCCCCTCGGCTTATACTCGAGTCACTGTCTTTATAATGGCAACTTACATTGCCATAATACAGACCAGGACCGCCGGGCTCATTACAAGCCCGGCGGTCCTGTTGGGGGCCGGAGCAAGCTGTTACTTACCTTTGCAGCAGCTCCGTTTAGCTCCCAACACATCCGTTCAGCTCTCCAGTCTAAATCTCGCGGGACCCGGGGCCGTCAGAGCGCTGCCACGGGTTACCGTGGCAACGCACCGCGCAGCACGCAGACCGCGAGATTTACACTGTGGAGCGGAACGGAGGTGAAGGGAGCTGAACGGAGCTGCAGCAAAAGTAAGTAACAGCTTGCTCTGGCCCCCCCACTGCACAGCCCATCCACTGGACCACCAGGGATTGGGATAGCCCCCCTCCCTGGCCATGTATCAAGCAGGGAGGGGGGACAAAAAAAATGAAATATCTAAAATATTTAAATAATATTATAATAAAATTGAAAATGTAATAATATTAAAATAAAATTAAACATTAAATAAAAATGCCCTCCCCACACCAAGGTTGCACACACTACACAAACACTGCATTCATACAAACACACACACTGCATTCATTATAGACACACATTCTGCATTCATTACACACACACACTCCACACAAACACAAAGCATTCTTAATATACACACACTACACAAACACACACATTCTGCATTAATTACATACACACACTGTAAATAAATATTCAATTAATGTAATTTTGGGGATCTAATTTTATTTAGAGATTTACCAGTAGTGGCTGCATTTCCCACCCTAGGCTTATACTTGAGTCAATAAGTTTTCCCAGTTTTTTGTGGTTAAATTAGAGGCCTCGGCTTATATTCGGGTTGGCTTATACTCTAGTATAAATGATTTTTATATTCTTTTGCCACCCGTGTGTGACATGCATCTTGTTGCTCACATGCTTATGGTATGTAATTGTGCACACCATTGTATGCAAATGAATCACACAGCGCATACATAATACTAATAAGTCACGTTTTCCTGTGTGTGACCGCAGTGACCTTGTGTTCCTTTTGATAGCCTCTCCTCTGTTCTATTTTGCAGTATTTAATGCATTCTTGTACAACAGCCCTTCAAGGAGTCAGGTTTGGGCTCTTCCTAACCTTTAGGTATAGAGTACTTTATTGTCAACCAGGACATTCTTCCTGTTCCATTTGGCCAGTGTTCTTACGCTGGGCCAGAATTCATACAGCAGGATATACCTTGTAGTACGGACTTCAGTTCTTTTATCTAGGTGCCTAGAATAGACAGGACTAACTAATTGGGCATAAGGTTCCTTTTTCTGTTTGCCTTATTGACTAAATGTGACAACATGACATGACATATGCGCACTGTATATGTTAGGTTAAAGGATGCCCCTTGTCCCTGTTACACCATTGCTTATAACTGCATTGATGCATTTTCTTCCATAAGAGGAGGAAGCTATGATTCCACTGAAGTGCAAATATGTGTATGTCCTGCTCATGCCATTCATTTCACACCAGCTGTGGTTAGACTGCACTGCAGCTGTGATTGGTTGTCAGCTCAGGCAAATAATTAAAGGACCACTATAGTGCCAGGAAAACATACTAGAGGATTTGAGGGCTGGATTAAGCCATTTATAAACATAGCAGTTTCTCTGAAACTGCTATGTTTATTAAAACATGGGTTAACCCTAGCTGGACCTGGCACCCAGACCACTTCATTAAGCTGAAGTGGTCTGGGTGCCTAGAGTGGTCCTTTAATAATTTACACAGATATTTTCACCGAATTGTGAATGGGGCTGTCAACAAGCTGATAACAGGATCTGTGGTGGGATAACTGCTATCAGCTTATTCAGCAGTTGCACTCATTCTGTGTGTGACAGAAACAGCTGTTGAGACTGAACTACATATGCTATAAACGTTTGCTTGCTTTTATGGAAGATGATAAAACCCTATGGACAAGCGTGAGAATCTCCTGATTGGTGTTACTACTTGCGCCAGGTTTGGCCAAGGCTCAATGTTGCTGTGGCTTGCCTAAATACTACCCCTCATTTTTGATGAAATCTTATCAATCAAAAATATATAAAAAAAATAAATAAATAATAATTACTAGTGATACGAAACACTTGCTTGCAACATATGATTAGAGGTATTTTACTCTATCCAAAATTATATTATAATATATATATATACACACACACACACACACACACACACACACACACAAACACATATCCAACTCAAAAACAAGTTTATTTTAATATTCTTTATGTATTCTCAACATCATTAAATATGAATAAAAAAAGTTTAAAATGGGGGAGAATGGAAAAATAAACAACTTTTCACAGTTTTGCTTATAACACTATTTTATTTACACTCTGAGTGCAACTACACAAGAAAAACACTCAAAAAAGACTCACTTATAAGTCCTGATTATTAAATACCTCATATGTCTAGGATTTCAATTAGAAGGAACACTATAGGGTCAGGAACACAAACATGTATTCCTAACCCTATGGTGTTAAAACCACCATCTAGCCTCCCTTCCCCATGTAAATATAGTAAAATCTTACTTGTATTCAAGTCTGCAGCTGCTGGCTCTGACCCTATCTGCCTCTAACCTGCCTGCTGACAATCAGAAGTAGTGGTTTGAGCCAATCACAATGCTTTCACAGAGGACTGTCTGAAACTGTCGAGGAGGCAGATCAAGGGCAGAGCCAGCATAAGTCAAACACAGCCCTGGCCAATCAACATCTCCTCATAGAGATGAATTGAATCAATGTATCTCTATGAGGAAAGTTCAGTGTCTGTATGCAGAGGGCACTGTGCAGCACTGCCCTAGGAAGCAGCACTGGCAGCCATGTGAGGAGTGGCCAGTGAAGTTATCACTAGGCTGTAATGTAAGTTTACAGCAAAAAGCCTGAAGGTAATGATTCTACTCACCAAATGCAATAAGCTGTAGTTGTTCTAGTGACTATAATGTCCCTTTTATTTATTATTTTGGAAAAGCGAACATTACACTACGCCTAACCCTACACCAGCCCTAACTCAAAAGGATTCTCTCTGCTGACATCAGTAGGAATTACTCCGGTTATGCAGTACAGAGCACTCTAAGAGTACTCTCTTCTGTGTGATTGCAGCCCGAGACACAGATCTCCCTCTCCCTTTTTTATCTCCGGCATGATATTCCTTCCATTCACATAGTGATCATGATGGGCAGCATGCATATCCCAGTGCCAATTATTGCAGGGAGGCCATGTGTCTATCTCTATTACAAAGAACCTCAAAATCCCCTAGGATTTTGAGATAATTAAGATGGCTGAATGCGGTCATTCATCCGCAGTGGTTTAAAGGGCTGTATGCATAGCATATTATTAGGATTGCACGGAACATTCTAGCATCACAAAGTGTTTTATTAAACACTTTTTGGTTTGTGCCGTCAATTACCACTTTTTATGCACAGAGTTTACATTAGCAGCCCTGAACTTTCTTGCTGGCAAACTAATAACGCTTCACTTTCTCTGAAACTATGTTTATAAAAAAAAATGGGTTAACCCTAGCTGGACCAGGCACCCAGATCACTTCATTAAGCTAAAGTGGTCTGGGTGCCTAGAGTCCGTTAATGCTCCTCTGAGGAAAAATGCAAGAGGCAGAGAGGTAAGCAGTGCTGAGGGGCTGAAAAAACACAAGTAATTTTCTTAATTTTATTGGGGAAAGGGGCGTACCTGAATATAACTGGGGACAGGGGAACACAGGTTTATATTCCAATAGTTTCAGTAATAAAGTTTTTTATCCCTAAAAATATAGTCTAGTTTTTGAACACACAAAACAAACGGTAATATGTGTTGGTACAATAAACTAGACGGAAGTTGCAAAAATGTCAATATTCTTTAAATTAAAAAAAAACCCTGTCATTTGCTATTTAAGGGTTTAAAGAAAACTACAATTGGCATGTGGAATGTAACATTAGGCCATGCCACTCAAATAAGCAGTTTTAACCGTTAGAGACTAGTCCATTCTGTTGAGTTTAGTTGCTTTCCATTTAACAATGAAGTTTTGTATCTTGCTATATAATATATATATATATATATATATATATATATTATTTCACACTTTGTTGTTTCAAATGTTTGAGTGTCATTTTTACAAATTGTTTAAGTAACTAACTTTACTGACCACATGGTGGCACTTGTGCAGTTATGCACATTAATTAAAAACTCTGCAATTTACAATATTAAAGGACCACTATAGTGCCAGGAAAACATACTCTTATATAGTGCCCTGAGGGTGCCCCCACCCTCAGGGTCCCCCTCCCGACCAGCTCTGGGGAGAGGAAGGGGTTAAACACTTACCTTTCTCCAGCGCCGAGCTGTACTCCTCCTCTCCTCCTTGCTCGCGACGTCATCGGCTGAATGCGCATGCGCGGCAGGAGCCGCGCGCGCATTCAGCCGGTCGCATAGGAAAGCATTTACAATGCTTTCCTATGGATGCTAGCGTGCTCTCACTGTGATTTTCACAGTGAGAAGCAAAGCGCTCTAGTGGCTGTCAATGAGACAGCCACTAGAGGCTCTGGAGGCTGGATTAACCCTCAGTATAAACATAGCAGTTTCTCCGAAACTGCTATGTTTATAAAAAAAAAAGGGTTAATCCTAGAGGTACCTGGCACCCAGACCACTTCATTAAGCTGAAGTGGTCTGGGTGCCTAGAGTGGTCCTTTAAGGCTTAGGTACTGACATCATAAGGGTAATATCATGCATTATACACCAAACCAAACTAAACTAACCAAACTGCTAGTATAACACACTGCTCAAAAAAATTAAGGGAATACTTAAAGGACCACTATAGTGCCAGGAAAACATACTCGTTTTCCTGGCACTATAGTGCCCTGAGGGTGCCCCCACCCTCAGGGTCCCCCTCCTGCCCGGCTCTGGAAGGGAGAAAGGGGTAAAAACTTACCTTTTTCCAGCGCTGAGCGGGGAGCTCTCTGCCTCCTCCGAACCGCCCCGTCGGCTGAATGCGCACGGGTGGCAAGAGCTGCGCGCGCATTCAGCCAGTCGCATAGGAAAGCATTCATAATGTTTTCCTATGGATGCTTGCGTGCTCTCACTGTGATTTTCACAGTGAGAAGCACGCAAGTGCCTCTAGCAGCTGTCAATGAGACAGCCACTAGAGGATTTGTAGGAAGGCTTAACCCATTGATAAACATAGCAGTTTCTCTGAAACTGCTATGTTTATAAAAAAAAAATGGGTTAACCCTAGAAGGACCTGGCACCCAGACCACTTCATTAAGCTGAAGTGGTCTGGGTGCCTAGAGTGGTCCCTTAAACAACACAATGTAACTCCAAGTCAATCACACTTCTGTGAAATCAAACTTCCCACTTAGGAAGCAACACTGAGTGAAAATCAATTTCACATGCTGTTGTGCAAATGGGATAGACAACAGGTGGAAATTATAGGCAATTAGCAAGACACCCCCAATAAAGGAGTGGTTCTGCAGGTGGTGACCACTTCTCAGTTCCTATGCTTCCTGGCTGATGTTTTGGTCACTTTTGAATGCTGGCGGTGCTTTCACTCTAGTGGTAGCATGAGACTGAGTCTACAACCCACACAAGTGGCTCAGGTAGTGCAGCTCATCCAGGATGGCACATCAATGCGAGTTGTGGCAAAAAGGTTTGCTGTGTGTCAGCGTAGTGTCCAGAGCATGAAGGCGCTACCAGGAGACAGACCAGTACATCAGGAGACGTGGAGGAGGCCGTAGGAGGGCAACAACCCAGCAGCAGGACCGCTACCTCCACCTTTGTGCAAGGAGGAACAGGAGGAGCACTGCCAGAGCCCTGCAAAATGACCTCCAGCAGGCCACAAATGTGCCAGTGTCTGCTCAAACGGTCAGAAACAGACTCCACGAGGGTGGTATGAGGGCCCAACGTCCACAGGTGGGGGTTGTGCTTACAGCCCAACACCGTGCAGGACATTTGGCATTTTACAGAGAACACCAAGATTGGCAAATTCGCCACTGGCGCCCTGTGCTCTTCACAGATGAAAGCAGGTTCACACTGAGCACATGTGACAGACGTAACAGAGTTTAGAGACGCCATGGAGAACGTTCTGCTGCCTGCAACATCCTCCAGCATGACCGGTTTGGCAGTGGGTCAGTAATGGTGTGGGGTGGAATTTCTTTTGGGGGCCGCCCAGCCCTCCATGTGCTCGCCAGAGGTAGCCTGACTACCATTAGGTACCGAGATGAGATCCTCTGACCCCTTGTGAGACCATATGCTGGTGCGGTTGGCCCTGGGTTCCTCCTAATGCAAGACAATGCTAGACCTCATGTGGCCGGAGTCTGTCAGCAGTTCCTACAAGATGAAGGCATTGATGCTATGGACTGGCCCACCCGTTCCCCAGACCTGAATCCAATTGAGCACATCTGGGACATCATGTCTCGCTCCATCCACCAACGTCACACGTTGCACCACAGACTGTCCAGGAGTTGGCAGATGGCAGTTTAGTCCAGGTCTGGGAGGAGATCCCTCAGGAGACCATCCGCCACCTCATCAGGAGCATGCACAGGCGTTGTAGGGAGATCATACAGGCACGTGGAGGCCACACACACTACTGAGCCTCATTTTGACTTGTTTTAAGGACATTACATCAAAGTTGGATCAGCCTGTAGTGTGTTTTTCCACTTTAATTTTGAGTGTGACTCCAAATCCAGACTTCCATGGGTTGAAAATTTTGTGTGTGATTTCGTGGTCAGCACATTCAACTATGTAAATAACAAAGTATTTCAGAAGAATATTTAATTCATTCAGATCTAGGATGTGTTATTTTTTTGAGCAGCTACTCATCAGTTTGGTTTAAATAACTTGATGCCAGCTGAAAGATAATCACCCATGCAGTAACTATCCAGTAGGAGGCTCTTACCTATAAATTCAGGTGGTGACTTTTTTTTTGTGTATATACACACACACACACACACACTGCCTGGCGAAAAAAAAAAAAGTCACCACCTGAATTTATAGGTAAGAGCCTCCTACTGGATAGTTACTGCATGGGTGATTATCTTTCAGCTGGCAACAAGTTATTTAAACCAAACTGATGAGTAGCTTCTCATTTCTTAAACAACCATGTCGAAAGACACATCCCGTGGTCGTGGAAAAGATGTTAGTCTATTTGAGAAGGGTCAAATCATTGACATGCATCAAGCAGAGAAAACATCTAAGGAGATTGTAGTAACTATTAAAATTGGGTTAAGAACTGTCCAATGCATTATTAAAAACTGGAAGGATAGTGGGGAACCATCGTCTCTGAGGAAGAAATGTGGTAAAAAAATCCTTGTTATGTGATCAGCGATCACTTAAAGTTTGTCGAAATCAAATCGTAGAAAAACAACAGGAGAACTCAGGGCTATGTTTAATAGTGAAAGTAAGAGCACAATGCAAAGGGAACTCAAGGGATTGGGACTGAACAGCTGTGTGGCCTTAAGAAAACCACTAATCAGTGAGGCTAATCTGGGGAAAAAAGGCTTCATTTTGCTAGGGAGCATAAAGATTGGACTCTGGAGCAATGGAAGTAGGTCATGTGGTCTGATGAGTCCAGATTTACCCTGTTCCAGAGTGGCTCAATTTGTGAAAGAGTGGTTCAGGGAGCATGAGACATTTTCACACATGGATTGGCCACCACAGAGTCCAGACCTTAACCCTATTGAGAATCTTTGGAATGTGCTGGAGAAGGCTTTGTGCAGTGGTCAGACTCTCCCATCATCAATCCAAGATCTTGGTGAAAAATGAATGCAGCACTGGATGGATATAAATCTTGTGACATTGCAGAAGCTTATCGAAACAATGCCACAGCGAAGGCATGCCGTAATCAAAGCTAAAGGCAGTCCAACTAAATATTAGTGTGTGACTTTTTTGGAGGGGGGGGGGCAGGCTGTGTGTGTTTGTGTATGTGTGTATATATATATATATATATATATATATATATATATATATATATATATATATATAGTGGAGTAGTAGGGGGTTAATCCACGGTATCTCCATTGGTAGTCAAGATAAGCAGGTAAAATACAGGTAGCGTAATAACAATCCTTTCCTCCCAAGAACTAGAAGACACATAGCTTGGAGGTCAACTGAGCTTTTATTCCACAGGGTCGGTATTTATGCAATTCCCCATGCAAGGGGTTTCCACAGAGACAATGCAGGGGTTTTACTGGAGGGGACTGTGTGGGGGACTTAGCATGTAAAGACAATTCCCATGATGCAGTGCTGTACAGGAGAGATTATTGTGCAAGAGGATACTTTTAATTACATTATCTCCCTGGACAGCAGAATCTGCCAATTCGTATAAAAATACATAACTGGGTGAATATTGCTGAGAATTAACCGAATGACCCATCACTGAATAGCTGGGATCTGAGCGCACCATCTGGTCAAATACTGCTCAGATCCCTTTACTAATACACGAAAGCCATTCTAGTGAAGCGTCATGCGAACACACATTACCAGGCTTTGTTATACCGGACTGAATTCAACGAATGCACATATTAACCGAATGACATGGAAGTCCAGCGGGGCTTGGTGCGTCGAGTAGCCGATTTCAGTTCCAGGCACTCGACGACCAGACCTCGCTGAGTATTCAGGAGAAAAGATGGCCACCGCCACGTGTTCGGTACATGAACGGCGGCCACCTGCAAACCACAGTAATTGGTGGCAGATACAATGTTGCCAGTGTTAATGTGAGACACACAACCCCCTTGTGTGGTCTCCCATTTGGTACTTTGTTCGTTTCACGAACAGTGTTGGAATCACTGTTGGTGGAACTACAAGTGGAACGCCGGTGGCATTCATATGCTGCACGCACACGAATGCTATATACTTATACATGTAAGAGAAAGGAACATAACAGGAAAATGAAACATTTTGCACACATATATTTCTTAAGTGGCTAGGTTTGCCACACACACACACACATATATATATATACACACTATTTGTAGTGGGGAGCATGATCTCTAAAGCCAATGTGCGTGAATCTTCACTGCAATCATGCATCAAGGTGGAATGCCACATCTATTAGTGTACTCTCAGATGCTAAGAATTCTATAGGTCATTTAGGGATGTGAGCATAGCAGGTAGATTCCAGTCACAATGTTTTATGAATTGTTTAAATCAATATCCATACAACAGATTTGTATTTATTTATTTTTAATAGATTTTTTATTTTTTATTTGAAAGGATGCCTGTTTCAGTATGAAACCGACGACTAATGGAACTCTTGGATAATGCTGGATCAATGCAATTGTAATATTTTACAGGTTTAAATCAGCAAGATTTATTAAGCGTTAAAAATTTTCAGAGTGGAAAATCGACCCTGGTAATCAAATATAGATTATATGCAACCGTCAATAGAAGGATAGAGAATGTTATCAGGAGCTTTTATGGAGGATACATAGTCCAGGATAGCTACACTTAATTTACACAGCATATATGTGACTTTGTGGCAGGCTTATGCAATGTATGATCATATAATGCAACTAAACCCCCATTATTTTTGCCTACAGTAGGTGTTTTTAAAAAGGCTAGTAAAATCTTTCAGCATTGAAGTTGCGGTTTAGTGGATAGGTGAGTGCGTTGGATCTTGTGTGTTGTATTATTTGGCCCCCAGCAGCACCCCCATTTATGCATGTTCAGGTGATTACAGCCAACCCCCCCTGTTTTATATATATATATATATATATATATATATATATATATATATATATATATATATATATATATATATATATATATATAGGGAGTCTAGCCAACTCCCTGGTTTTGCACCCCTCCCTGTCACAGGTGCCTCATCCCAGGGCCCTATTTAGCCTTGTACTGCAGAGAGCCCCAGATGGAATTTTTTTCCTCAAGTAAGTGGTTAATCTCATAAGAGCAGACATTAGGCTGTTAGTGTAGTACCTGCCAAAGATGGGGTGCATTGACGTTGTGGCAGGCTTATGCAATGTATGATCATATAATGTAACTAAACCCCCATTATTTTTGCCTAGATTAGGTGTTTTTAAAAAGGCTAGTAAAATCTTTCAGCATTAAAGTTGCTGTTTAGTGGATAGGTGAGTGCGCTGGATCTTGTGTGTTATATATATATATATATACACACACACACACACACACACACCGTAATGGCACCCAGCCGTGTTTTCTGGGAACTCCTTGGGAAACACCAACTAAATCTCAATTTCTTGGCTGTTTTAGCTACTCATTTATGGCTTGCAGCACTTGCCTAATTTCCAGCATTGACTCAAATCACTATTCAGTCTGGATGCAGTCTGAGGTCTAGCTAGCATGGATGAAGGGAGAGGCAGCCAATCTCCTGGACTGAAGCAAGCTGGCAGGGCTACAAAGATCTGAGCTAGCACCCCGCTAAACCCACCCGTGCACCCAGTAAAATTATGAAGGAGCGTCCACCATACTCCATCGACTGGAGGGCATATTTGAGGCATTCTGGCAAATGCTACATGACAGTAGAGCACCATATTCCTGATGCTCCAGTTTCTGCATCACCTCCAAATACACCCCACAACACCCTGCATCACCCAGTGCGCCCGAGAAGGCGGAGGCGTAACAGATACACCTCAAAGAAGGTGGCAGGCATCCCAGCATCAGCGCTGAACATTCTCCGTGCATGCAAGGAGCATAAACTGAAATAAATTGGACAAGAAGAGAAACCATTCTGTGCAAGGGAACATCTGACGCCTTTGCTCCTGGATCCGCAGACAAGCACCATCTGATGGAACTGTATACCCATAACGGGAATAGAATGACTGCTTAGAGGTTTTTGTTTTTTTTCTGCATGAACACTTGCAATTTTTTTTTTTTTTTTTTTTTTATAACTCAATCATAATCCTATGCCTAATCTTGTTAGATTTTGCTGTTTTGGTGTTTCCTTTGAGAACCTGGACCTCCCAGGGTTGGTACATTATCTTGCTATCAACTTATGTATACCTGATCTTACTTGTTAATTTTACGGTTACATCTTGCATGCTTAGCCGGTTTCATTATGATTATTATTTTTTTTAAATGAGGCTGAATTTCTCTGGAGTTAATGTTCAGGTGTCTATTTACAATGACATACTTGCGTTTTAAATATGTTAAACCTAGCTGTATATGTACACTTATGCTCTAACTTCTTTTTGCCCGTATTGTAAACCAAATCTGCCTCAATAAAAGTGACTGAAAAAAAATAAAATTATATATATATATAAATTTATTTGTGTTAGGGGCAAATAGCCATATATGGAGTAAGGTTCCAATATGAGCGTTGGATAGTATAAAAGAGCTATCCAACGCTCGGCACACCACGTTGTGGTGTGCAGAGACCGATTATGCGGTAGGCCTGTAAATAAAGAAGGCCCACCAAGTAGTAAGAAAATGTAAAATGAAAAGGGAAAAAAAGTGTTGAAATTGAGGAGTAGTGGGAGGGTCATTCAGAAGCTGACCTCGAGCGGTATGGAGTCAGGTAAGGGGTGTACCTTATATAGGTGAATGAATTAACTCAAGCCCCGCCCACAATTACAGGCCAAACGGCCATAATACTTGTGTAAGGGGCAAATAGCTGTATATGGAGTAAGGTTCCAATAGCGTTAGACAGTATAAAAGAGCAAAGTCGGTTGTGGTGTGCCGAGACCAACAATACAGTAGGCCTGTAAATAAAGAGGGCAAAAATGAATAATCAAAAGGATTTAATACAGTCAACTAATATATACAATTATACAGACATTTCTTTGAAAGCATTTCTTAATTCCGGTGTTGGTTTGGGTATGTAAATCGTGTATTTGGTTGATGTGAACTGGTATGTTAGCGCTGGAGGCTGTGGAGGCAGCCCCTATACGAAAGGAGTGACCTGAGTAGGTAGAAGGGTTAAAATCTAGCATGGTTAACAGGGATCTGATGTATCTCATGAAAGTAGTGGTAGTCAGTACAGAGCCTTGTAGTGTGAATAAATCTTGAGATGGTAGTGATGTGATATGTAGAAGGTAGGAATCTAGAGCTGCCGCCG